GCTAAGTGCACAAAGGTTTTTGTCTTAACAACTTCATGCATCTACACATTATTACAAAACAGGGTGCATACTTAAGACATGTAAGAATGAGTAATTCACTAAGAATATTCACAGCTACAGTTAATTACATTAAGAACATTCTGTAGAAGGCCAGTGAGTTAGTCATTTCTAGTTCATACCAGACCCAAATAAAACAACTTCCTGGACTTGTTACTAGTTTCAACATTTTAAATAAATTTAGAGACATACCCTCTAGAAATGTAATTTTTAAAAATCTCATCCTTTGTCTTAATTGGTGAGGCATAAGCAGTATCGTATAACACAACCAGATAAGATTTCTGCCTCATCAAATCATATTCAGTTCATGAATATGAACTTTTATGAATTGTTACCAAATTCCCACTGCCACATTTCTGGAATTATAATGAAGTATGATTAATTCCCTTTTTCTTCTGTTTGATTAAATAGTGCTAGCATTTAGAAATTTTCCATCAGGTCTCTATGTTATCAATAAACAATAGCCTGTATACAAGCTTAATGGTAATAAGGTTGATGCTATTCATTTCATTAACAGGATATTTTACCTAATTCATTCTGATAATATCAAAAGTTAAACGTACAAGGTTTCTTGTTGATCCCTTTCTTGTGCTGATTATATGTCCCTTCTAACTCTCTGCAAGTATGAACACATACTTGCAGGCCTGTCATACTGATGAGTGCAGAGCTCCATGGCAGGCAGTCCTAGAGACTGGGATCTTAAATTTCTCCCAGTGTCCTACACTTCCCATCCATTCATGGTAAAGTATTTAATTTTAATGTTCTCATTGTTTACCAGAAAGCACAGACAGTGAGGCTGGATTTGCCACTCCCGTTTCCTTTCGCTATGCTGCTGAGCTTTTTCAGCCAATTGACTTGGCTTTCAGGCTATAAATATCTGAAAAATGTTCTGCATTTGATGCTCTTGGATTCTGTATCCATATTTAGCTGTTTGTGGCATGCCTTTGTTTAAGCTACTCTACCACCCATACAATCAGTCAGGTTGAGATCTGAATGGTCAAAGGACAAACGGATCAACATTCAACAGACATTGAGTTACTATGAGCAAGGCACCAATCTGGCAGACAGTTGATAATGAAAGGGGTGGCAAGACAGGTATACAAAGATAAACAAGGCTCCCTGATGTCAAAAATGTTATAGTCTTGACAAGACATGGGCACAACTTATATATAATACTGGAATAAAACAAATGAAACATTTTACAACTAAAAGAAAATGAAGATTAGGAAAGAGCATAAATATTTTCTCTCAGCCATGTGCATTAGTTTGTGCTCTAAATATAGATCCACCTATTATAAAGCTCTCAACATATTCCAGAAAAGTTTTCCAAATCATGGCAATACACAAAACTCTGAGTATATGTATAATGACAATATATACATATAAACATACGTACACAATATATATGTATTATCAACCAAGGAGCCAAACCTGTCAACAACAAACTCAAACTAGTGCCCAGTCTTCAAATTTTGTGAGGCAAACTAATAAAATATCGTTTCTAAAAGTTCCCCTTTAAGATACTCTTTGGGGGGGTTACTTCTGTTATTGTTTGTTCCCATCATGATTTTAAACAAAAGTATACTGCAGGAGATGTAAACTGCACTTAATATAGCTCCCTATTATTACCCTATCTTTAGAACCCACATGGCTATTTTAGGTTAGGTCTCAAAACTGGATGAGCTAGACCTAAGAACATCCCCATACTCTCCTTCCTATCTTGTGAAAACATTCCAAATAAACAAACATCTGCCTTCAATATACCTTCTTTCAAAACTCAGTTCGCTGACCTTTTGATAAAACTGCTCCCCAGAATCCCCTGACAATCATAATTTAAATGCATTAACTTAAGGGCTTGGTTAGTACCTGGCCCCAAGAGCCAACATAAAAGACTATAGACCAACCTGTAGGTAAAATAATGGACTAAGCCACAGAATCAGACAACTTTAAAGCTAAAAGGGACCACAGATACCAATTACTCCAGATTCCACTTTTATGCAGAAACCTAGAGACCATGAGTTAAAACGACTTGCCCAGAGTTAGACAACCAGTTTGTGGCAAAGCCAGAATGAAAACCAGGTTCTCCATCCCCAGTTGTATACTCTAGGTTTCTAGTTGTAGACTCTAGATTCCCAATTTGTAGATTTCTCTAAAACATGTTAGACTACACTCATCAAAGTCTCTTTAAATTGTGAGAAATACCTAGATGATCCAAGACAATGAAGGTTTTGAACACACAGACAAGAAACAAGAAAAACAAAATTAGTATATTCTCAAAATTGTTTTTCCACATTCTTTTTATTTCAAAGTTTTTACTTCAAAATTTTTAAACACACACCCTGTTCATACAATAGGCAACTTAAAACTAGCTAAGGACATAGCCAAAAGCCATTCCAATAGTTCTGAAATATTTACATCAAACTAAAGACAACAAAGTAGTATCCAGTATTAGCTGCCGCAGAGGAAGGAAAGTAGCAATACTAAACATCAAATAAAAACAACTTCTGCTTAGCTGATAGAGAAAAAAAAAAGTTGCAAGGCAGTGGAAAGTCTGCAGCTGGTCACAGAAACCCATGCAGAAATGCACACACATATACATACCATGCATGCATTTCTGTGACGCATGATATGAAGTCTTGAAATCAACTGAACTACGCAGAAAGAAAACTTCTAAGTCATGGTGACTCTTGAACAATAAACATATACCCTGTTCAGAAGGACGAAAGAAAAAAAAAACATAACCTACTTGATATCTCTCTCTCTCTCTCTCACACACACACACACACAAAATATACAATACGTATTTCACAAATCAAGCCCTAGGAATGGACTACAAAACAACATATATTTATAGACTTTTATGTGCTTACAAAGAACGACAGTTAACACTAGGTCCAGAGAACCCAGAGAGTTTTGAACACTGAAATACCGAATTATCATATATTCTTAGAATAGCATGGCCCTATTTCTAACATCACACAAAAAAACAGTATGCCAAAGAAATGTGTAAGGAGAGGATGACAGAATGGGAAAACGTTGTAACTACAATGTACTCTAATTCATATGCACTTTCAGATTCTCATCCACCTTTGCTATAAAGGACCAGCTAAGTGGGATTAGCAAGCAGACGGAAAATCAGGCACCAAAGTTTTTAATCTAATTTGCTAAGAACAAACTGGGTGACCTTGCGTCATCCCATTCCCTTAAGTCTTCCGGTAAGTAGAGTAACATCAAGAAACACCCAGCAAAATACAAAGTGGTACATAAATAAATCCTTAAGAACTGGTTATAAGAAGAATTGCTGGATTTTTATGATTAAAAAGGCCCCTAGTGATTATTTAATCCAATCCACTCACTTTACAGATGAGGAATCACAGGCCAAAAATGTGACTTCGATCTACCCCAAATCACACAGCCATTTAGCGGTAGAACTGAGGCAAGAACTTACATCTCTGGACTCCTAGTTCTATGATCTTTCTAACAGGAAAAACAAAACAAAACAAAACAAAAAACGTAATGTACTTGATCATTACAAGATTAGATGCACACGACCGCAGGATAACATCTTAACATTGTATTTGATCCCAGGTGCTTCAAATTTGCCATCTTATACTCAGCCATATTACTAATGTCTTTTGTAGTCACGTGAGCTAGGTGATAAACATCTTGCCATTTCAATATTTTGGAAAGCCACAGCTCAGTCCTGAATGCAGGCTATAAATCCTTAAGCTATGAGTTTTCAAAACCAGCATGGTTTTAGTGCTGCCACAAGGCTCACCCTAATAGAATCTCATCATTCAGTTTTAATTAAAGAGGTGGTTACCAGGAATGCAGAAAGGGAAAGTTTTAGTGTGTTCATCACTTTTAACCTGCTGAGTGGCAACCCAGTCACTTTACAACGAGACTCAGAAACAATAGTGCAATCTGAAACAATCCACATCTTTTGGAATAAGTGGTTGCTTTCAGACAGTGAGGTTCAGAAAGAGGTTATAGATTAGTCTGCTCCCACCAAATACATAGTTTGGATTTTTTTTTCATTCATTAGCTTATCCTCTGCTTTTTCATAATATCTTCGTTTCCAGTCTTGCCTCACTCAACAAGAGAAAGACGAAAACCCATTCACTTGGTTTCATGTAGTTTTCCATCATATCTTCCTGAAGACTGCCTGGTAGTTCTCTTTTGAAGTAATCGCCTAAGAATTATGTCTTGGATAGCCCAACTACCGCATTAAACTTACTGCAGGTGTCTGAAGAGATCCAAAGACCATACTGAGTTACATCACTGCCCAAGTGGTAGTCTGAAGAAACTTGTCAGAAATGCACACCCAGAACAAAAACGGATGTAGGAAACTGACCCAGCACGGATAAGGACTGGGAACGAGCCTGAGACTGACGGAATGAATTTCAACCCAAGCAAAAATAGGAAACACCAGCCTCTAAGACGGCCTGCGGTCCTTACCGTACACCCGGACCCAGCTCTGCTGCTGGCACACGGACTCCAGAAGGATCCGGTCCAACATGCCACCGGCCACGGCTCCACTGACTGGGACAACCGCGTCCAGTTCCTCCGGGGGCAGCGGCGAGTCGGACTCCAGCGCCGGGAATATCTCCGGCCAGGACAGCGCCTCGGCGGCTCCTCCGGACGACGGAGAGAGCTCCATGGTGCCCCGCGGGGGACGAGGCGGCGGCAGCGGGGCGGGCGGGCACGCGGGTCCGCGCCCTGCCTGCGGGAAGGGGAGGAGGAGAGCGCGCAGCGAAGGCAGAGACCCTAGCGGCCGCCGGCGCGGACGCCTCTCGCCTCCTTCCCCGTCGCCCACTGCCCGAGACTCAGGCGCTGCAGCCCACCTGAAGCCAGCGGGCGGGACTCAGGCCTGGAGGAAGATCCAGCGTGACCCCGACCAGGGGTAGGTCCGAGCTCAGGTGTGTGTGGGTCCCGCCCGGGAGAGGAAGCACAAGAACCCGGGAGATGAGGCTGGCCCTCCCGCCCCCTCGGAGCCGCCTTCTTCAGCCCCGCCGGCGTCTCTCGCGGTCGGACCAGGCTCGGGCTGGGGATGGAGCGGGGCCGGGCAGGGCTGGGCTTGGGGGCGTCACCGCCAGGGGCCGCCCCCTCTGACCGGCTCCCGCCGCCGCCGCCGCCGCCGCCGCCGCCGCCTCAGAAGCTCCGAGTGCCCGTTCCCTCAGCCTGAGGAAGGGTAGGGGGCGGTGGCCCAGGGTTCTAGCCCGCCAGTCTTCGGCCCCCACTTCTGGAATGAGCCGGCCCGCCCCCTAAGTCTCAGGCCACCGCTACGGTCGCAGCTCTGGCTCCGGCTCCGCGGCGGATCCCACAAGCCCGGCAGCCGCGGCGGTGGCGGCGGTGGCGGCGGCGGCGGCGGCGGCGGCGGCAGCGGCAGGCGGCATCCCAGGGTGATAGGCTGAAGCAATCGAGGACCGAGAGCCCGGCCGCGTGTGCACTCGAGTAAGAAGCGGGGGAGGGACTGCGCCGAAGACAGGAAAAGTCGGACACCGAATTATTCATCCGGCCTGTCCCGCCTACTTTCCAAATACCCTCCCCGGGAGCGCCGGGTATTGAGCGGTCCCGTTCTCTGTTTTTCGAAGTAAAGACCGTTTGAGAAGGCGTGGAGGAAAAGGGGTGCGGGAAATTTAAACAGAAAAGAAAGTAGCTTCTCTTAATTGTCACACCTTTCATGTTTCTTTCTTTCTTTATGGGCCAATGTTTCTTTCTTATTGGACGAAGAGATCGAAGAAGCTCCTTTATCTTACAGTCACCCAAGGGGGGACGCCTTTTTCCTTCCCAGAGTGGAGTGGCAGTGGGTCTGGGATTCTGGGATATGCACAGGGTCCGCCTTCCGCGCCCTGTCCGCGCTGAAACTGGACTTGTCATTGGTTTACATCAGCTTGGTGAAGAAGTGTGGTGTGGATGGATGGACGGGCCTCTCAGGCACGTGAAATGCTCAAAAGCCCAGTATTAACCAAACATGTTTCTCTTTTTTGTCTTTGATCTTTGTGCAATGTATTGGCTTTTTTCCTTTAATGATGTCACTTACATTTTATTTTTGGTTTATTTGCAGACTGTCTCCCTCCTTGGCGGTGGCTTTACTTTTATGTCCACCCAAGGCGAGATTCACCAGTTTAGATTTAAGAAATCACTGACAAGATAACAATAATAATTTCAAAATTGAAGAATAATAACTTAAACCGTGCCTTGGGCTTAGTAGATCTCCAACAATGTTTCTTGAATGTGGCTACCTAATGTGGAACAAGATTTTTTGTAATTAGATGTTGCTGTTTTTAATACCTTTAGTGGCGGGGGGGGGTCTTTAGTCGTTCCCCCCACCTCCCTACTTTGCACAGAGACTGGTCTGCAAGGGGACCTGTTCGTTTTCTGGTTTTGTGGTGTCCTGGTATATTGTTTGGGAGTTAATGAGGATATAGTTTGTGAGTTTCTCCAAACTCTTACTTAGAGTAATAGTATTTCAAAGCAAGAAGTTTTTAGAGATAACCTTATTCTGCCTGTTGTTTAACAGGTGAGGAAACTGAGGAAAACCCAGGTTACCTGGCAAATCAATCACAATTACAGATAGTTCCGCAATGACTCAGTGGATATTACTTCAGCTTTGTTCCCTCAAGCACCTTTTGTGATTAAGCTTGTTGATCTGTGGCATGATGGTTTATTGGAATGGTCATTTTTAGTATCTAGGACCGTGCTTGCTTGCTTGCTTGCTTACTAGACTGGCTGCAAAGTCAGTCTTCCACGTGTAAACAGTAGTGTGTGCTTTAGTGCATGAGAGATGATGAAGCCAGGAGATTGCAGGGCTCAGCACTGAGCAGACCTAGAGCATTTTTATTTATACTAAATTAAAGCCATGGTAACATAAGTTAGAGAGAAAGTGAATATGGCATCAGATGTGCAAAGCTGAGTATCTCTTTACTAGTCAATGTATAAGGAATTTATTTACCCAACCAATTATCTTAAAAACAGCATTATAAGTGGTGGGCGAAAGATTTCCAGAATTTATTTACACATTTGTTCCCTCAGTGGCATCATTCATACTTGAGCTCAAGAAAAGGCCTCTGCCAACCCCCAGTAATCCTGCTTTTTTTTTTCTTTAAGTTCTGGGATACATGTGCAAAATGTGCAGGTTTGTTACATAGGTATACATGTGCCATGGTGGTTTGCTGCACTTATCAACCCGTCGTCTAGGTTTTAAGCCCCACATACATTAGGTATTTGTCCAAAAGTTCTCCCTCCCCTTTCCCCCCACCCTTCAACAGGCCCCAGTGTGTAATGTTCTCTCCCTGTGTTCACGTGTTCTCATTGTTCAACTCCCACTTATGAGTGAGAACATGTGGTGTTTGGTTTTCTGTTCCTGTGTTAGTTTGCTGACAATGATGGCTTCCAGCTTCATCCATGTCCCTGCAAAGGACATGAACTCATTATTTTTATGGCTGCATAGTATTCCATGGTGTAAATGTGCAGCATTTTCTTTATCCAGTCTATCATCAATGGGCATTTGGGTTGGTTCCAAGTCTTTGCCATTATAAATAGTGCTGCAGTAAACATATGTGTACATGTGTCTTTATAGTATAATGATTTATAAGCCTTTGGGTATATACCCAAAAATTGGATTGCTCGGTCAAATGGTATTTCTGGTTCTAGATATTTAAGGAATCACCACACTGTCTTCCACAGTGGTTGAACTAATTTACACTCCCACTAGCATTCCTATTTCTCCACAGCCTCAGCAGAATCTGTTGTTTCCTGACTTTTAATAATCCCCATTCTCACTGGCATGATATGGTGTCTCATTGTGGTTTTGATTTGCACTTGTCTAATGACCAATGTTGATGAGATTTTTGCATATGTTTGTTGGCTGCATAAATGTCTTCTTTTGAAAAGTGGCCGTTCATATCGTTTGCCCACTTTTTGATGGGATTTTTTTTTGTCTTGTAAATTTGTCTAAATTCCTTGTAGATTCTGGATATTAGAACTTTGTCAGATGGGTAGATTACAAAAATTTCTTCCCATTCTGTAGGTGCCTGCTCACTCTAATGATAGTTTCTTTTGCTGTGCAGAAGCTCTTTAGTTTGATTAGATCCCATTTGTCAATTCTGGCTTTTACTGCAACTGCTTTTGGTATTTTAGTCATGAAATCTTTGCCCATGCCTGTGTCCTAAATGGTATTGCCTAGGTTTTCTTCTAAGGTTTTTATGGTTTGGGGTTTTACATTTAAGTCTTTAATCTATCTTGAATAATCCTACTTTTTTTATCCAAACCCTCAGATACTGGTCCCTGCTTCACCTCCCTATCCTGACCCCAGACTAGCAGCAGGTCATTATCTAATTGCCTAAGTAATAGTATATCTGGAATTTATCTAATGTTCATAACTTAAGATACTTTCACAGGCCAGGCATGGTAGCTTACACATATAATCCTAGCGTTTTTGGAGGCTGAGCAGGAGGATCACTTGAGCCCCAGGAGTTTGTGACCAGCCTGGACAACATAGTGAGACTCCCCCCACAAAAAAAATCTCTACCAAAAATTAGAAAAAAATTAGCTAGGCATGGTGGCACATACCTGTAGTCTCTGTTACTCAGGACACTGAGGCAGGAGAATCACTTGAGCCCAGGAGTTTGAGACTACAGTGAACCATAATTGCATCATTGTATTCCAGCCTGGGCAACAGCATGAGACCCTGTCTCAAAAAAAAAAAGAAAGAAAAGAAAGAAGGAAAATACTTTCACAACCTGAACAATAATTCTGTGAGACAAGTAAAACCAATATTTTTAAATCACCGTTTAGAAAATTTTAAAAAATTTAAGTGTAGAATTTTATTAAGCAACCTACCCAAACATGGCTACTTAGTAGACTGAGATTAAAATTCACCTCTTCTAATTTTTAATTTCATTAATGGATCTGGATTGCTGAAGAGTGTTTTTCTTTGGTGGGTAGAGCTGTTGTGGCATTTGTGGAACCTAGGTATTTCATGGGTTTTGCAAATTATATGTAAGAAAAATATTGAAGGAAAAAAAAAGTTGTAAACCAATTGGCATTGCTGGGAGGAAGTTAATCCTACTTGAACTTATACCAGTGGTATCTCCCCAGTATAAACCCAGATTTTAATGTGAAGATAAATCCTTGGTTGATGAAGTCTTAGTTAACACTGTGGTTTGCAAACAGTTCTTTATGTGTGAACTACAATAAAGCTAAAGTCTCACTCCCCTGCCTGCCTTCTCCCCTCCCCTCCTCTTTCCTCCAGATTCTATAGCTTTGAACACTAAGCTCCCAAAGGTGATCTACATATTAACTATCATTGGAATTCGTAACATCAAGAATCAAACCCAAGTCCCCAGACAAGTGGGAAGTAAAAATTGGGTAACTATGGAGGAGAAGAAATAATAGTTTTCCTAGGTCTAAAAAACAAATGCTGGCACGAGTCTGAGATTTCTAAAAGACAGAAAGAGGCCTTTGTTTCTAAATACACATTGCCAATAATAAAGAGAAGTATACATTACCAATAATCAGTAATAAGGAGAGATGAGAGTTTGGGATCTTGCATGTCACAACCTGAAGACCAAGTATGTGTCCAGTTTTCTTTTTCATTCACTTGTTCACACACACACACACACACACACACACGAGGTTCCCTCTTCACAAATGCTATTAACTATTTTCTTTCCCTTTTTTTTTCTCTTAAGGCAGGGTCTTGCTCTGTTGATCAGGCTGGAGTGCAGTGGCGTGATGTGGTCTTGGCTCACTGCAACCTCCACCTCCCAGGCTCAAGCAATTCTCCCATCTCAGCCTCCCAAGTAGCTGGACTACAGGTGTGCACCACCACACCTGGCTAATTGTGCATTTTTTATAGAGATGGAGTTGCCTCATGTTGCCCAGGCTGGTCTTGAACTCCTGGGCTCAAGTGATCCATCTTCCTTGGCTTCCCAAAATGCTGGGATTACAGGAATGAGCCACCAAGCCCAGCCAGCTATTTTCTTATAGCCAGTCCCTTCTAGACTATGTAGGCACCAACTCTAACCAGCTAATCCTCAAAACAGTAATACAATTTTTAAACTGTGGATCCCCAGCTCCTCCCTTTCAGTATTCTTTCTCCCTTTAGACACATTCATGCACTCTCCTGATTATATTCTATAACACTGACTACGCCCAGTCTATCATAAGGAAGAATTCAGACATTTCCCAAGATTCTGCCATCTGTCTTCCTCTCACCTCACTCCCTAATTTCCTGGTGATCTACCCACTTCTGTGATTTCAGCTGTCACTTGGATAATATCGACTTTGAGAAACTCATCTCCAGCCTTATCCACAGTACTAAGGTCCTATCAGGAGTTTGTAAATGTTGAACACCTCCACCAAGAATATGTTTCCTGGACTTCCAACTCAATGAATGGGAAGTGACATCTTCATGTTTTCCTTACCCCTTGCCCAAACACCCTTGCCTTCTTGAATTGCCTTTTTAAGTTAGTAAAACTACTGGGTTCTGCCTCAAACTTGCTTATACCTGGAGTTACCTTTGAGTCCTCTCCACCCTCCTTTGCATAAATCCAAGCCCTGCTTTGCATTTGTGTTGACACCATCCTGGCTCAGACCTAGTTAACTTTCACCAATATCATTCCATTAGCTTGTTAGCTGTCCTCCTTCCCCTGACACCTTTCCACCTCCAATACTTCCTCCAATACTGTAGGTGAATTATTCTACAGCACAGTTCAGACTAAACCACATCCAAGCTCAAAAAAAAAAAAAAAAAAAAAAAAGACAGCTCCTGTTGCCTAAGTAAAATATATGCTTTACAGAGCTTAAAAGGACCTTCCAAACATGGCCCCTAACCACTGTCGCTGCCTCACTCATTGCATGTGCTCAGCCAACCCCATAGGCTCTCTGTTCTGCAAATACATCCAGCACTTTCCTTGCCCCTTGCCTCTGCTTAATTGTTTCTTCCATCTGGAATGCAACGTTCAAGGATCCCCATCAAATACCAC